GATCCTTGATCCTCGTCCTTGATGCTCTTCGCCGCACACTGGGGTAGTGTTAACTAAAATCCGGTATTTTAAATAGCATTTATATTATAAATAAAACAATGAAAAAATCCTTGATACATTTTATTATAATTTAATATCGTAAAATATATGGAAAAATATTATATTAACAAAAAATTCCTAAATCTAATTATAATATGAAGTTATCAAAATCAAAAAGCAATGGGTCTTCGTCAGATTCATCGTCATCATCACTTTGACGGTCAGTGAGTGTCGGAGGAACTAAGAAGTCTAAAGCCCCCTTTGGCATGATTTTTTGTTTTCTTTTACATTATTTTTTTTGCTTGTCAATAAAGGATCTGAACTCAATAAAAACAAGTTAAAATGTCTGCGTTGGATTTCTCCCGGCTGCATTTCCTGGAATAATATTCACGGTAATTTCAAAGTCTTTGTTACGCGCTTCTTGAGCCTCTTCAGTTAATTGTCCTATGGGCAACTGTGCACTAGATATTATGTCTGCTCAATGTATAAAAAACTTGTGTAACGCGGGAGGCATACAATACCAACCATGCAAATTTACAAAATGTCTAGCAGTCTAGTATCATGTGTATATTGGCGGAATCGGTCGATGTTAATTGAGTGTACACTTGATATCAGTATAATGTTAATTTTTTTTTAATTCTATATCTAATTTTGTTATTTTTGCAGGATTAAAAAAAACGTCGTGCCGTCATTAGAGCTTCCAAAGCCGGGCTTAGGAAATTCAACGATTAATCCAGTCTTTTCATTAAATTTGGTTTGGATACTTTTCTTTGTTTCTTCAACTATTATTTTATCATCAAATCTAGCTTGCCACTTTCCAATCGGTTGTTTATAAGATATGTGAAGAAGACATTCAAAAAATCTTATCCAGCCCTGTAGGACAGATATTTCAAATTTTAAGTTTTGTGGTATTATTTTCCTTTTAATTATTTTATCAATGTCATTTAAATCTTTTGTGGTAGCTCCACATATGTAACGCTTCTGAGTAGGATTCTGCCAAATCATTTTCGAGGTCTTGCAGTCTGGGTCACACACTAAACGAAGCGGTACGAAGAGTCCTTATAAATACAGAAGAATCACTGGCTTCAGATCCATGAAACGCCTGCTTGTAGGAACTGTGACCTGAGATGCCATCGAAGCCCCACTTGTTTATTAAATGTGGTTTGCTCATTTCCCTGTTGCTTAGTGATAATAGAATACTTTGCTGAACAGTTATAATACGTTTCACAGTATGATTTAGAAGGGCTCGCAGGGGAACTTCAGCCGAGGTGTCACTCACTCTAATATTATTTGGATAGCATTTTTTTCTCATCTTTTACTGTTTTTTATGGAGGAAATCTATCCAGAATGCTCTTTCTTATTAAATCTTATTGGTATCCAGACAAATTAGCATATATCATTAAAGCCAGGGCATCTTCACCAGACATCTTGCACCGGCCTTTCTCGAGTGAAGTTTTGTAACCCTTTCTAATTCTGCCTGCTTCTAAATTTCCTGATACCCTTAAACTCATCTGGGTGACAAAACTTAACGATATCAATAACACATAAATTAACCACTGCAAATACATAATCACAAATAAACATAAACAAAGGCTAAACCTGACACCTGAAATTGTAGGAAAATTATTTAAGGGAATATTTGGTTTAAATAATGTTCAAAAGGGAATGCTGCAAAATTATCAAGGGCACCGTACAAGCGTACATCGTCGCTTAAGTGACAGATATTATGCACGTTATAAATAAAAAAATGGTCATATATTGATGGAGAATGATATATAAAAGTTTTTAATACAATTTCTACAAAATCGACACCAAGTTTATTTATCCTTGCATCAGAAATTAAGATACTAATTTCGCAATGTAGCAACAAAAAATGCTCGTAGATTGCAGGTTCAATATATAATAGGGAAGTTCTGAATTCGGTGGCTTTCTATCGGGCAAAATCGCATAGGAATCCATTTTCTATTGAATTCAACTGATAGGTATATATTTTGCAAATTTCTCAAATTCTAAAGATAATCTACTAACAACAAAACTATTTAATTTAACTAAAAGTTTCCCTCCTTCCAAACATTTAAAAGTTTTGTTACTACGCCAAAGCATAAATTGTGCATATAATCTAAAAGAAAGGAATATGCCATTCCAAAAGGCAATTCAGTTAGGGGAGAAACACCCAGATGATAATATTTATCAAGTTGCATAGAAAAAGCGTGATCTGTTTGTTGAAAGGCCGAAGTAGATTGAAAAATTACTCTGTTATCAAAAAATTCTCCGTAATCTGTACACTTTTCCCATGACGCATATGACCATGTGACCTTTCACACATTTTAAAATAGCCCGAGCTGGTGCATCGCAGACAAATCCAAAAATGTGTACGTTATAATGTTTATTATTGTAAGTTAAACATTCCTGAAGGTTTATTAGTGGGTGTGTTTAATAAGGTACGGATATCCGACGGCAATTCAAAATTTTAAGAAGATTTGTAGCAGTGCTATGTGCCGTTCTAGAAATGATTGCCCAATACCTCAATTTTAGATAGAGTAGTATCATTCCTAACAACATCTTTAGATTTTTTAACAAAATTATTAATAATTACTAAACATAGGGCGGTTTCATGGTTTTCTATAGAAAACTATAGTGAGCCTAGAAACGTAAAATGTTCAGCGTCCGAAACATTAGGAACTGAAATTTACAAACTAAGTTTTTGCAGTTTGTTATCTCCCAACTGATAGTCGAATTAAATGTATTTTAATTTACGTGTATATGTCAAGGTATTACATTTGCTTACATTTAAATTTAATTTATTTCGTGCGCACCATTCATACATGTTTTCAAGATTTTTTTGTAGGATTTTACAGTCATTAACAGAAGTAATGGGGTGTAATTTGGACTTTTAACCACGTACTTCTATATATTGCTGACGATTTTCCAGATATGATATAAACAAGTTAATAAGTTTGGGACTAAAACCAAACTGTTTTAATTTGTAAATTATTAGGGTGTGATCCAAAGTATCAAATGCCTTACTAAAATCTGTATAAATGACATCTACTTGCCCTCTTGAGTCAAGAACTTCTGAAATTATTTGTGTTTTCACTAGCAAGTTAGTGACAGTAGATCTGCCAGCAATAAACCCATGTTGTTCAGGTATTATATAGTTATATACATAAGCAGAAAGATGATTATATAATACTGTTTCAAATATTTTGCTGAAGTTGCATATTACTGTAATGGGCCTTTAATTTAAAATTTCATGTTTATCCCCCTTCTTAAATAACGGAACTACTTTGGATATTTTCCAAAGATCTGGATAACAACTGGTTTTAACGATACAATTAAAAATTATACACAATGGAATTTGAAAAACAGTGCTACAGTCACGAATAAGAAATCCAGGAATCAAATCAGGGCACATTGTCATATTATTCTTGATACGCTTGGATGCTTTAAGAATATCAGTTTCTGTGATTTTTTTTAAATGAAATTGTGTTTAAATTTTCCTCTAAGAATAAATCATGAGTGCCTGTGGATTTAGAATAGGTTTCAGAAAAATAATCTGAAAAAGAATTAACTAATTCAGTAGGACTATTTATTTCATTTTCTCTAAGTTTCATTTTAGATGTAATTAAGTTATTTTCTTTTTTTTAGTTTAAATACGACCAGAAACTTTTGGGATTATTTTTTAAATTCGATTCAATATTTTGGGTGTAGTTCTTGTAGGCAATTGCATTTGCAGACTTAAATTTTGCTCTTGATACTTTAAATAAATTGTAGTTGTCTTTGGTTTTGTGATTTTTCCAAGTTCTATAACCTTTGTCTTTTCGTTTGAGTAATTGTATTAACTGTTTGTCATACCACAATGGGAATTTATTGTTGTTCAATACCTTCATCGGAACATTAGCATCTAATAAATCATTAATAATTCAGTAGAAAAGATTTAACATGTCGTTTACCTTCGTACATTGATTTAAAAATGACCATAAATTACTATATAGTTCTATAAAGTTTGCTCGTTTAAAATTGCGTTGCTTTTTGTGATAATATGGCGTGCTTTTAGAATTTTCCATGTTATATTTTATTTCTATTAATAGTGGAGGATGATGTTTGTCAATTGGTACTAGAGACTCATCTGCTTGAGTGACTTTACAATAAATATTGGAAAAAACTAAATCAAGAATACGGCTATTACTAACATTTACTATAAAAGTTGGTGAAACTTTGTAAACTTGTGACTTTATTTGTAATATGGTGCGCAGCATACTCTGGAATATTAAAATCACCAATAACAAACAAATTTTTATCATAAATTTCATGAAGAGATTCTATAGAATCAAACAGTAGCTGGTATTCTAAAACTGTACATTGTGGAGGTATATATAAAAGTATAAGATAAATAAAAGAATAATTTAACTTAATTTTAAACATTAAAACATCTACAAGTCTAATATCACAGAACGTATCACATATTGAGTAGATATCAATTTTATATGCTTCATAATTTGTACTAACAGCTAACAGTATACCCCCGCCTCTATTGCAACCGGTAATGACAAAGTCGTGGTCCTTACGAAATATTTGATAATTAGCATTCAGTATTTCTGTATTAAGAACCTCCTCCCTCAACCAAGTTTCGGTAAACGCTATAATATCGAGTTGATTTATACACGAGGATGAATTAATAAATAATTCATTTAACTTACCATTTAATCCTCGACTGTTTTGTAGATAACAGATTAAGGTGGGAGAAGACTTGCGTATAATTGCTTTTGTAATATAATAAGGTTTTAAAAGAGTTGATTGCTATTTAATATTTAGTATGTCACCTTTGAACTTGTGGAGCGTATCGATATAAACTGGACAATTATGCGACCATGCTTCATGTTTTGTGTCAACCTTTTTACTTGAGATCTTATTAGAATTTATACACTTAACACATTCAATGCTATTAGACTTACAATCAGTTAATTTGTGACTTTCAGAACATTTTCCTGATTAATCAATTTATGGTAAGTAATAATATCAACTTGAAGTATAGCTTGATACACGTTACAGTTTTTTCGAGTCGGACTAATAGATATCAATTTACAGTTGGTTGAGTTGTTAATTTGATTTTTATTTTGCGCAATTATCAGATCAGATAGTTCTTCTTCCTCAAGTTTTTCTGTCATACCGACCACCTTGACGCGGGGATTTAGGGTAGAAACTTCTTTGATTTCATAATCATTTGATAAGTTTGATGTAGCAAGTTCTTTAAATTTATTGGAGTCCACATCATCTTTACAACATACCACAACGGCCCCTCCACTCGCATTTTTTGTTTTCCTCAAAGATAAATTAGATTCGACAGGGTTAATTTTCCTCAACATTTCGTTCTTTGTAACTTTGCTTTCCTGTTGTGTCTTGGGTTTTATTATAAAAGTAGATATAGTTTCATTAGATAATTTATTAGCATCTAATTTATCTATTTGAACCCCTAAATACTCGATAACCTCACTTTTAATACTAGACTTTAACTCTTCCATATGAAATTTTAATTTATCATCATTATCTTTATTAAAAATAACAAATGCTTTCGAGATGTTTGACAATTGATCCTTTATTTCTTGTAGCTCTTTTAATAGTTTTACTTGCTTAGACTTATCCACAATTGAATACGTCAATGCAGAAACTGAATATGTCCTACCTATCTAGTTTTAAGATAAATAAGAAAAACTGAACAGAAAGTGGACATGTTCTGGACATATTCAGTTTCTCTACTATATTAACGCCTTTGTATAATCTAGATTACCGTGACATGTGAAATTTCTACGCCATTCGCTCGGGCACCCTTTACTTATAGTAAATCCATGTTTAACTCAATATCCCTAAAAAGTGGACATATTCAGTTTCTGCATTGACCTATTCAATTTCTGAACTTCCTTTACACTGATTACAAAGATAAAACAAATTTTTTTTTTTTTCTATAAACTTATATTCACTATCACTGAGATTAACACATGAGTGATGCCACCACTTTTGACATGGCCCTTCACAACCGTTTAAATCATCACGCGTTTTGACTTTGCATTTAGCACAGTCCGCCTCTTATCTTGGTTTTAAAGTGCATCTGTGGGATGCCGCCTTGTTGTTTCTAGTTCCGCGAAAACTAATGTTTCTTGCCAGATCATGGCTTAGACATCTCTGTAGTACGTTTCTTTTATCAATACTAGCTAAATAGGTGACTCAAAATTAACCATATTATGTTTTATCAATACAAAAAAGTGCATATTAATATTTGCTGATGATTTTTCTTATTTTTAAATGCTCTTCCAGGATGTGTAAGTCATCGAAGGTTTTTAGAGTTAAAACAACAGGAAGTTCAGGTTCATTATTGGCTAAATTTCTGTTTCCTGCTTTAGGAATAGATAAAATCTCCTTATTTTGTTCAATCATTGTAGAAAGGCATTTTATCATTTTTTCTGAAACACTAACACAGAAAAAAAATATAAAATAAAATTTGTAAAATATTTACCCTTCTTCTGGACTTCTGGGAGAGTAGGAGTCTGGATCTGCAAGGAACGTGGTAGGCAATTGGTGGAAGTTGCAGTTATTGACGTAGCATGCTGAGACAAGTTACTGGGTTTGGATGGTCCAACTGGAAGGTGATCTTGAAGCTGATCTTGAGAAAGATGTTGAGTGTGACTCACTGTGGTTACAATGTGTTTGATTATAAATAATATTTTGGGAGTTTCTCCCATCATTACCAGTGTATACTAAAAAAAATTGTTTTTTAACTAGAGACAAACTGTTTAAATACAAAAATATTATTTTACTTTACCTATGCCATTTTGCGTTGGTTATGCAATGACTATCGAAAATCTTCCCCACTTCATTTATGAGGCACACCTACGCCCTGATAGTAAAAAACACAAATAACTATAAGGCGCTCCTAAATGATGTAAAAGCGAGCTTAAAGGACACCCAGGCCAGCCAAAATATAAAAGCACTTAGAAGTACAAAGGACGGGGACCTCCTAATACTAACCGATAAAAATTAAGAGGCAATAAAAAACCTACGCCAGACAATATATGACAAATATGCCGGAGCACTTATTAAAAACATAAACCCGCAGGGAAACAGATCCACGATAATTATAAGATGAGATGAAGGAAGTCAGGGAACACCTTAAAAGGGAGATGGGTTGGGTTGGGAAATAGCTTGGGTTGGTACAGGGGGGAGGGCTAAAACTTGTGATTCGGAGTGTTTCGAGGATGCCCGATCGATTTTTGGGGTCGTAGGGGTACCATCCCTTGCGGAAGACCCACTTTACTGATGTCTTTTTTTGTTTTTTGGCCATAACTTCCTTACATGGGCCAATACTTTTTTTCAATCCTTTTTATTTTTTTAGCTCTTCAATTTTGGTCCCCACAACATTTTTGTTTTTATTGGCCTTCGAGTGGTAATTTTTCTTTTTCTTTTTTGTAGTATTTTCTTAGCGTTTTTGTACTACATCTATTCTGGGAGCTTTGTTGACTGTTGTCTTCTGTTGCTTTTGTTAAGGATACTTCTTTTAGCCTTGCATGTCTTCTTTAGTTCCGCTATTTCCTGTGAACACCACTAAACTGGTCTCTTGAAGTGGTTTCCAGTGGCTTTTTTCCTAAAGGTCCTGTCGCATGCACTTTTGATAGCATCGTCCCAGATTACCGCATCTGTGAAGTTCTTCCTACCCAGTTTTATTAGAAGATTCCAGCCGAACATCTCCATTCTGTCAGTTTTCATATGCCACCCATCCGCTTTGGGTTTCGAGGAGGATATACCTGTGGTCGCTCAAACTTTTCTTCTCGAGGACTTGCCACTGTGCTATCTTGCTGTTACGTCTATGAAGGAGACTCTTGTTCCTCTTCTAAATGTGGGTTTATCACCATTGTTTAGAATGCAGAGACCCTCCGAGGCGAACAAGTCCGGAAGTATCGTGCCCCTGTTGTCATCTAAACTCAAGCCCCATATGGTCGATTTGGCGTTGAAGTCTCCTTCAACTATGGCTTCTGTATTGCGCCCTGTATGTCTGAAGTTACGTTGTAGCTCATTTATGTATATTTGGAATTCATCCATTCCAATGTTGGGGGGTGTAACAGCCAAAGATGGTTTTATTTTCCACCCTGCACCATACAAATTCATGGGCACTGCCCACTTTTCCCAGACACAGATTTGGGTTGGTACCCATGATGGCCACGTTTTTTAGTCCATCATGTATCCAGCCGCCGCCTTCTACCTTTTTTTTATTGGGTTCCGATGCTATAAGGATGTCCACTTTCTTTTTCCTTTTGTAGGAGAAGGTCCATGGCTTCTCTACTCCTATTGAGGTTGCATTCTAACACTCTTATTTTAAAGGCGGGTTCTTGGTGCTTTTTGTCCTCTCCCTGGAGTGGGGCATTTTGCCGAGTCTGCTCTGTGCCCTTCTGTGCATGTACATGTTTGGCACCTTTTTTATTGGTGCAGTCTCTCCAGTGTGCATTTAAGGCAGGTTTTTTTGTACAAGCCTCTTCCTCCTTGCAGTTCTTTGCTACGTGACCCATTTTCTGGCATTTAAAGCACCTCGGTATGACTATATTTTCCTCCACTGTGCATCTTGACCAACCTATGTTAATTTTACCTTTCTTCAGAATGATTTGGGCCAGTTCTCTTGGTATTACAGCCGTCGTAACAACCCTTCCATTTCTTGTTTCGTATGGTGTCTTGGCTTTAATGCATTTACTAGTAGAGTTTGTCTCTTTTCTTATGGCCTTCTCTTCCTCTTCTAAAACCCCTGAGGTAAGGTTCTCAAGGAATATGCTAAATAGCGGTTGTCTCTTTTCTGCGTGGGCGTAGTTTTTTAGTTTCTCTCCGATTTTGACACGCAATTGCTAACAGGCACCTTCTGGCCACTATGCATTGCGAAGAAACAGTTTTTGTTTACCTTTGACGCCCAGTATCGCGAATTCCTTGTTGTTTAATATTTTAAGTTTATTTACAAAAATATTTACCACGGAAGATTGTGGTTTTCGTGGTTTTGTTGGTTCTTTTTAAGATTCTTTAGATTCTAAAAAATCCACTTCCCCGGGGTGCAGACAATTCATCAGACAATCTATTCTTCGCATCTTTAGATTAAACAATTTAATTTTTTCAGCATGCGTCAACAACTGCTCGCCGCTGGACTCCTCGCCGCTGGACTCCTCGCCGCTCGACTCCTCGCCGCTGGACTCCTCGCCGCTGAAAATCCAGCCTACGTCGGACCCTGTTGTGGCCTGGGTCGAAAAACTCCAGTTGTCCCCCAACTCATTCCTGTCATTTTCGGACGGATCTAAGTGTTGCCAGAGCACTCGCTTGAACTTCGGGTACCTGTTTGAGTATTCTCCATGCACTTCTACATGTTAAAAACTTTTTACATCTTCGAGAAGATCCGTGGCCATTTTTTTGTCGCACACATGATAGAACTTTAAAAATTAACTTAAAAAGTTTATAAACAAAGGTCGTCAAACCAGAGGCGGATTTACAACTTTGCTCCCTATAGGCTGAAGCAACAGCGGAATACGTCATCATCTGAAGTGGTAAAATAGATACAACGAATGTATAGGAATCGTCCACATCTTTATTGGTTTTCGAAAACAGTTACTTATACCTCCTGCAAGCGGTTTATAGTATGATGAAGCAATGATTGTAGTTTTACTTTTCTAGAATGTTTAGTGATCTTAATTTTCATGATCAGGATAGCATTATTTTTTTGTCTCAAAAAGTATGTGATAATTAGGTAAATTTTTTATACACAAAAAAGGCTCAATCTTTTAGTCAAAGAAATACTGGTGAACAAATTATCTCCTGTAATATTACGATTAGTTCCCTCTACCGGATGTACTTATCGTAGTACAATGTCCTCAGCAGAGTTGCTCACTTTATAAGGTCCATCCTGCTGAGTTCCTAAGTATACTTAGGACGAACATATATGGCTCGAGATTAAAAGTGTGAAAAGTTTTAGGATCAACGAGAGCGTTTATCGCGCATCGCAAGATAACAAGATTCAACTCCATTGCCCTTAGAATTGTCCCATACATATAAGCATTTTTCCTTAAATTTCTCAATGCTCCAATCAAGAATAAAATTCCTATCAAAACTCTTACTTTCGTTTCATGAGTTAGCCTCGAACCTTTTAAAATTGATTTTGATTTTCTCGATATATTTATATTTGTTGAACTAACTAAATAGTATGCGAATAACCTTTCTTTATAATTATTGCCACAATCAATTTCTTCACCGCCGTTTTTATCTGATGAGGCTGATAGTTCTGAAGATGTGTCATAAAGAACTCTTTTTAATATCTTGATGTTCGTCTACTTCGTCTTCCTCTCTTTCGTCTAATGGACTCTCATTCCCGGATGATATTACATCGTTCCATCTGAGCCAAACATCGGGATCCTTACTAGTTTCTACAGGCCTTCTTTTCAAGTCAGACATATTTATAACACAAACAAATACGGAATTTAATTTTTGTTTACCTTATAACAATTTG